GTATATTAGAGGTTTTTAATAAGCCTTCGTACAATTGTCCTGCCTTTAAAAAAATACTTTTACTGGGGGCTCTTACATTGCTTATCACAATCCATACATTCATCCAGTGTGTCAAGCACATTTGCACATATGTCATCATCATCATTTTCAAAGCATTCTCTTCCCACTTGAGCCCCTGATATCAGCTACCCATTTCTTCCCCCTCCCTCCCCCACTCGCCCTCTCGCACGAACCCTTGATAGATTATAGATTAATCTTTTCATATCTTACATCATCCTCCATCACCCCTCACCCACTTTTCCGTTATTGGTCCCCCTGGGTGGGGGTTATGTGTTGATCCTTGTGATCGATTCCTCCTTTCTCCCCCAACCATCCCCTAATCCTACTGGTATCTGTACTCTCATTGTTGACCCTGAGGGGTTTATCTATCCTGGATTCCCTGTGTTGTGGGCTCTTATCTGTAGCAATGTGCATGCTCTGGTCTAATCTGATTTGTAAGGTAGAATTGAGGTCATGATAGTGGGTTGAAGGCAGCACCAAAGACCTAGAGGAAAGTTGTGTGTTTCATCGGTGCTATACTGCCTTTTTTATATAGTCTATTTTGTCAGATCACTTGCTCAGCATACATATTGAATAAACATATTTAAAGGATACAGGTCTCACATACACCTTTCCCAATTTTAAACCATGCAGTATCACCTTGTTTTATTCTAGTGACTAGAGAAAAGCTGCCTCCTTAAAGTAGAGTTGATCTTAATGGTGCTGATCTAGCAAATCATATAGAACCTTCATTTGGTGATGGGACATGGCTCAAAATCGAAAGAAACAACTACAACCATCTATCAATAAGTGAAATATTTAATGTATAAAGTATGAATCTAGGAAAATTGGAAGTCATCAAAAACAGAATGGAAATATAAAGGTTGATATATTAGGCATTCCTGAAAAATAAAACTTTACACTCATGAGTAGATTCTGACTCATAGTGACCCTCTAGGACAAGCTAGAATGGTCTCCTTTGTATTTACAAGGTTGTAAAACTTTACAGCAGCTTAAAGCCTCCTTTTTGTCTGGCACAGCAGCCTTATAGGTTTGATCTACTGACCTAGAGTTTAGCTGCTCAAATCATAACCTACTACACTATTAGGGCTCTAATCCTAGGATGAGTAAACTGAAATGTATTGATATTTTTCATTTTGAATCATATAGTTTATTAGGTCCAGAATGACAAAATCAAGAGCAATGGTAGCATATTAATTATCAAATAGGTCACATCAAGATCTATCTTGAATTGTAATACTGCCTGCAACAGGATAATATCTATACACCACTATGAAAGACCAGTGAATTAAAATATCATTCAAAGTTATACACTACTACTAAAGCCAACGTTGAAGATATTGGAGAATTCTACCAGCGTCTTTACTCTGAATTTAATCAAACATGCAATCAATATTTTTTTGTAGCATGACACCTGTAGATGCTTATGGATTTTGACACTCACTGAAAAGAATTATGTTGGAATTTTCAACCATACAAATAAGGAAGGAGCATTAGCCAAGGGATAATACTCAAAGGGTAAGAAAGAATGAATGGAAACGGTATACAAAGAGAGGAATTAGAAAAATTTTATTATATTGTGAGGATTGCTGTCAATGTCACAAAATACAATGTGCATGAATTGTTGAATGGAAACCAACTTGCTTTGTAAATATTCATTCAAATCACAATAAAATTTCTAAAATAATTGTTGGAATCCATTAAATTTTTGAATTCACTGTTGGAGTATGGACTGTTCTGTTATTTTTAGCACCTGTTCTCTTATGTATTTAATGCTAAAATGTGTGTGTGTGTGCGTGTGTGTGTATTTCACTGGAAGAAAGAATTTTGGGGTAAATTTGATTATTTATTACTGTTTAAAGTTTCATTTTATAAATTGATACAATAACCAAAGCATTCACTTTATATGTTTATATATACATTTTCTATTTATATTATTATAGAGAGTTCTTAAAATAATTAATAATTTCCTTATATTGATGTAAGAAACTGTAATTATACTACAATGGATCAAAAAGTTAAGGATGGTGTGACAATTTTTATTTAGTTGGTTCCTTCATGTATATGTTTCAGAAGAGAAGTGAACCCTCTAAAAAGGTAGAAAGACTGTTTACAGTCTTTTATTCCCACTTCTCTTTCCCTGTAACCCAATTTTCAAATACAGGACATTTTATCCTTCTGGCAGAAATTCTAACAAAAATATTCTAGATAAAAATCGCCCAGTCACAGATAACTGATTTAGATTAGCAGCAGTAACATATTACCTGCTCAAAAGATACTTGCAGGTACCTTATTCTCCCACAAGAAAAAACTTTGCTCTGTTTCATATTTGGGCTTCTTTCCACTAGTACCTTGCCTTTATCCCCGAGAAAGAAAGTTCAAAAGAACAAAGAGGTCTTGAGTAGACTATCAGCAGAAAGAAATTCAAAGTACTTTAATTAATGTTTTGATAAATGTGTTGGGCCAGGTTGACTAGAGAAAAAAATCCAGACACTCATATGTGCAAGAGAGAGCTTTATATCAAAGAGCAATTGTATATTGAGGAAACATCCCAGACCTGTCCAGATGAAGTCTATAAGTCCAATAATATCCCATATGTCTGATACTAGTCCATAAATTCCTCTTCAGACACAGTTCTACTTGCAATGATGCCAAATGCAGGAAGATTACAGGGCAATGGGTCAAAAATCCTGTGGAACCAATGGCAGTGGAAGCATCTCAGTACTGGTGGGAGTCTCCATGTGGCTCTTCCAGCTCTCTGGGCATGGCTTCTCAATGGGCAGGTGAAGCAGAGAAAGTGTGGCCCACCTACAGGTGGAAAGAGAGGAAGTTACCAGAATCTTCATGAGAAGGCCATGCCCACAAGGAGGCATCATCAGGCTGTGATCTGATTGACAGGCTAGACTCAACCTCTTCACTCTTAATATCTTCAACTTTACAGGAGATTAAGGTATGTAACTACTACAATAAGTATACATTTTAATGTATGAGGTAGTTAGTTTATTGTGCCAACCTGGCTGATAAACACATGTGGGGTTAATTGGAGGGCAGAGGGATAAATGGCTCGGTGGGCCCCGCCTTTCTAGTTCTCAGGTTTCTTGCTTTCTGATGGTCGGACCACGGTGCAGCTGCCTTAGCCAGTTCCCTGCTTCAGCTGGCAAGGCTCACTTCCTGCAAGAGATCCCTGAGGAGAAGCCATATGGACCTACCCCAATGTATCCCTGGGTGCTGGAGTACCCTTGTAGAGACCCCTGCCACTGCTTAGATGCTGACACGTTCACTGACTCGGCTTTCCTCCTGCAGTCGGCATCATTGCATCTGTTTTGTGAGATGGAGGAGGACTTTGTGGATTGGTGATGGACATATGGGTTAATGTTGGACTTGTGGGCTTGAGCAGCACTGGGTTAGGATGTTTTCTTGATGCGCACTTAACCTGTATATAAAACTCTCTTATACATGAGTTTCTGTGGATTTGTTTCTCTAAAGTACCCAGGCTAACACAATGTATTAATATACATCCAGACGAGGACTTGGCATTTGGCATTTGTTTAAAATGTATAATGTATGTGAATGATATTTCATCAATAGTTTAAAATGCCTATTCTAGATAGATGGTATTTCAGAGATTTTCACACTCAAAAAGTTAGATTTTTAACTACTTTTAAGGAACTAACAATCCAATAGGAAAAATTATGTCTATATCGAAGTAAATATACTGAGGCTAGAACAAAGTATATGCCTTAAGTGCAGATGAACCAAGTGATCTCGGAGCATATCTTCTTGGCTTTACAAAAAAAAATTCTCAGATTGTGACATTTGGTCTGGATCTTGTAGTAGAAAGAAACATACACAAATATGGGTTGAAAAGAAGTAATTCTCTTATGGAAGGAATTGTAATGGCCAGAAATTTGTGGCAGGAAGACTCGGGACATTCTAAGTCCTTCCATGAACTAGTAATTCTAAACGTGAAAAATAGAGTTAATATATAAGAAATTAGAAAGATTTAAGGCTAAAAATGTAGAATTATAAAACAGGCTTCTAGGATTAAGAAGTTTAAATTGTATTCCACAGAAAGTACCCTCACAATTCAAAACCAAACTCACTCTTATCGAGTTGATACCAAATCACAGTGACCCTATAAGGCAGAGTAGAACTACTCCTGTGAGTTTCCTGTGAGTTACAACTCATCACAGGAGTAGAAATTCTCATCTTTTGCCTGAGGAGTAGCTGGTGTATTTGAACTGCTGACTTTGCAGTTAGCAGCTCAATGTGTAACCACTCTACCACCAGGACTCCTAAGAAAGCACACAGCCAATGATGATTTATGAACAGAAAGCCTCTTGTGTTACCAAAAGTCGCTCAAGATGATTAGTCAAAGAGAGCCTATTAAATGATGAGAAAAATAGTAGGATATGAATCAATATTTGATTGATTAATTTTGTCCCTGCTTTTCCTCCGACCTTTTCTCTAAGTAAGCCTATTGTATAGATCAAAACCTGAAATATGAAGCTTAAATGTTCAAGTACCAATAATAAAAAATCATTTTCTTATAGCATTGCAGAGTGCTTTTTCTTGGCAGTGTTGTTTTAGATAGAATTTAGTATATAGTGAGTTTTGTATAAAAATAACAGTGCAGAACTCTTAGAACACATCAGAATGCATCAGTGAGAATCTTGGAATGTTTCCAAACAATTTAAATTTCACCATTACCTCTTTTTTTTAAATTGGGGATCAGATCCATATTTAGTCCTTTTTTAGCTTTTAAATTTCCCACTGATTGAATAGTAAAGAAATAGCTAGAGTTGAACAGCTCACTTTTGGCTGTGCTGAAGAGATGGAAGAAATGAAGGAAAGAGAAAGACACCTGTTAAGTAAATGTATCAAGCTTGTATTTGCATTCATAAATAGTTTCTATTTTAAAGGGATCATTCTGGTTTTAGGTATAACAGCAGCAGCAATGGCTGAGGCCATGAAGTTGCAGAAAATGAAACTCCTGGCTATGAACACTCTTCAGGGAAATGGAAGTCAATATGGGATAGAATCAGAACCTGATGAGCTTAATTCAAATACAGGTGAGTGTTTTCAGAAATCACAAACAGATGCTTTTTACAGTTTTATTCTGAAGTAAAAGAGAGGAGAGGTTATGGAGGGGAAGAGAGTATACATACCTTTATTATGCAAAGTCTTATACAGAAGAGTGTTAAACCTACTGTAACTTGCAAACTAAAACTAGAAAGCTGTAACAGATCAAATCTCATTTCAGGTAACAGTGAGTTATATCCATTATTTGGTTTGCGGGGAAATTAAATTTAAATTCCTATAATCCTAGTAATAAAAGCTGTGGGTTATGCTTTGGTCTGTTAACCACAAGACTGGTGGTTCACAAGCACCAGCTGCTCTTTGAGAGAAAAATGAGGCTGTCTGCTACCATTAATATTTACTCTCATAAAGCCTAAGGAACAGTTCTACTCTGTACTATAGGGTCACTATGATTTATAATCAACTTGATGGCAATGGAGGGTTGATAGTGGTACTGGCCATTGTGCTCTCTGTCTGCTAAAGGCTGCCCATTCCAGCCTCATCCTAGGTTTCTAATTCTATTCTATTCTCAATAATTTACCTCTGAAAAACATATTGAGAATCCAAGTCAACTGGACTTCATTCTCTTTAGCTGCTTAGTTAAGTGAGGGTATGCGGAGACTCCATGCATTATTGACAGCAGCTGAAAAGGGGGGGGGCTTTATAATTGGGAGCAATCAAAGAAAGACAGATGGAAAACATGGAGGAAAGATAAAGAGGCCTTTGAAATAGAATGCCCCCTCCTCTCTTATTGCTTATGTTTTCTCTTTTACCCTGTGAAAATTGTACATTTTCTCCTTTCCCTTGTGATAATTATACTTTGACCTTGATTGTAAAGCACCTCAGATTTTGCTTTGGAAGTACATGAGACTATAAATATAAATTTAAAAAAAAAATATATATATATATATATGTAAATACATGTTTAAGTTAGGTTTAGTTTTTGTGGGAAAAGAGTCAGGGGTATAGCCAAAAACCGTCTTTGTAGCCATTGGCTGTCAGCTTAACTCTGTAGTTAAATTCAATATAGTGTAATAAGCATATTATTACCAGACTTATAGTTTATCTTCTGGACTCCTAGAAATGCAAGCATAGTGGAACTGTCTTTTGGAGAGTTAGAGGGAGTAAGATTAAAGAGGAATTTCCTGGGATATCACTCAGGGGGGAACTAGCAATTTCCAAACCCATGTGGTTGTTAGTGTCCAGAAACAAGCCTCTCTCTCTTACACACACAAACACACACACACAGCAGTAATGAGTTGAACCACAGTTTTATTAAAGCATAGGGTCACTTCAAAAGGAATGAAGTGGGTCCCTCTCAAGAGGTGAGAAGGAATGTCGTTAAGCTTAGATAAGGTACTAAAGACGAGAATGTACATATGTAAATATATTGATATAAGAGTGTGTGGAATCAGATCTATGTGCATATATTTATAGGTTTATTATTAAGGCAGCAGATGGACATTGGGCCTCCACTCAAGCACTTAATCAATGCAAGAACACGTTGTTTTATTAAATTGGCATTCCAGGATGCACACCTTCCCGACACGATTGATGAAGAAAAATGTGTGCATAAGCAAATGTGGTGAAAAAAGCTGATGGTGCCGGACTATCAAAAGATATAGCATCTGGGGTCTTAAAGGCTTGAAGATAAACATGTGGCCATATAGCTGAGAAGCATCAAAGCCCACATGGAAGAAGCACACCAGCCTGTCTGACCACAAGGTGCAGAAGAGACCAGTTATCAGACATCAAAGAACTAAAAATCATACCAGTGGGTGCCCACCTCCCTGATACAATCACTGAAG